AGTTTTTTTACTGCTTTGTAATTGGTTAGAGTTGTGAAAATGAATAAAGAGAGTTTGAGTTGGTCTTGGGGAGCACAGCACGATAGACGCAGAAGGGGGAGAGTGCAGTCCTGGAGAGCCTTGGGGCGAGTGTTGACGCAGTCTAAGAGAGTCTTGGGGATTTTTCCCCAGGGCGCTGAGTCTTATAGGGTGCTCGATTGACCGACTAAGACGAGAGCTGAAACGTATTTCGATGTGTGTGTCTTATTTGACTGTAAAGTAAAGTGACATTCCCGATCCCGTACCTCAAGGGGACGAGATAGAGAAACGAGACGAGTTTCCCCCTGGCAAGTGTGGAGAACCCCGAGAGAAGAGATTTTCCCCCTGATAAATATATGTACTTGATTTTGCTGTGACAATGTATACATGTATGAACAATTATGTGAATATGGTGTTGTGTGTTATAGGAAGTAGGTTATGTCATTTGAATCAAGAGGGGAAGATTAAAGTACTTGATCAGAAAGAATGATTATATTTGTTCTTTGGCAGTGAATGGCTTATTTGTACTTGACTGTGACCCACCCACCACTCGATTGTAATTTGGCCAGCTGCTATTAGACATCACTCAGCATGACTAGTTGGAAGACAACCATGTAAAAAATAGTGTGAATAGAATAAACGTCTGTAATGAACAAGGAAAAAATATATTTAATATATTTAAAATATATAAATTTTATTTTTTATCTTAACCATCAATATACAACAAGTTTACAAAAAAATTCGAGTAAGAATAAAGTAAAAAGTTGAACCAATAGGAGATACAGGGTATGGTTGAATTATCTCGCCTGGAAGAAAATAAAAAAACAAGTGGTAAGGATTATATATTGTAATGAATGATTTGAGTCAGGTGTTGAGTAGAGGAATGTTCAATAGGAAGAACATTGTTGAAATGCTTTGGAAATGATTGGACTTTCCATAAATTAAATCTTGAGGCACATTGTAAATAACTAGTGAGAGGATGCTGAAAGCACTACCGTGCATTCAAGCATCCTCTCAATGAAAACACAGGTTATGCACATTATAATGAGATAAATTAGTGTTGTAAACAGAGTGTCATGATTAAATCTGGTATGATGTGCATGGAACGACTCATGGTGCAAAAGCAGATAAGTGTCGACGGAAGACCCAAATGATAGGTATCACCACCGACCAATTTGGTAGTAGTCATATTGCCGAAAATACTATATCTTGTTGTTTTCAATAAGTTTATGTGCAGCAACAATAAATTGTACAAAACCAGTAGTTAACTGTTTACAAGACAGTATTATAGACCCATATCATGCAAAGTTAAACAGGGTGTTGTACAAATATACCCCCTTACTTTT